TTGTTTCATAAAGACTACTATGTGAAATGCTATTTTCAACTTAGAAAGCTCTGTTGTTTTTCCCAGTTGTTATTGATATATTCAGTATGAAATTTGGGAAAATTTTAATTTTTTCTGTGTCTCTGTCTTTTTCTCTCTGACACAGAGTCTTGCTACAAAGTTCAGGTTGACCTTGAGCTCACTTTGTAGCCCAGGCTGGTCTTGAACTCATAACAATCCTTCTGCCTCAGCCTCTCAGCACTGTGATTACAGGCGTGCGCCAACATGCCTGGTTTAAGTGGCTGGCTTGGTGCAGGGCCAGCAGGGCATTAGATACCAGGAATTGAACTTGGGTCCTTGAGCTAGCCAGGCTGGTGCTTAGACCACCAAACTATCTCCTCAGCCTCACAGCTCTAGCTTTCTATAAAGCACTGTGTATGTACATGGCTATATATTGTATATAATCTTTTAAAAAAATTATTTATTTTATTTACTTATTTTGTGTGTGTGTGTGGCCAGCTCAGCCCACCTGGGGGCGGGGCTGGCTGGCATGTGGTGCTGGGGGATTGAACCGTGGTCCCTGTGCTTTGCTAAGCTTGTTCTTAGTAGGTGCTTTAGACCACTGAGCCATCTCATCAGCCCATGTATATAATCTTGAATATGATAAGGTAGTAAGCCAGGAAGATAGTTTGGTGGCATAAGCGCCTGGTAGGCAAGTGCAAGGTCCCAAGTTTAATCCCTGGTAACTGAAAAAAAAAAAAAAAGGTATTAAGACCTCATTAGTAGTTTTTGTCCACTAGGAAGAGACCATTGTTTGTCTTAGTTTTTCTAAAGGCTTATATAAACAGAAATGATTTCCTTGACCTCATTCCCATGGTACTAAATAGGATCATTCAACATTTATTAAAAGGATCAAGATGAAGGGAATCATCTTTTTCTTTCTGTCTTCAACCTCAGCTTCTCAGACTTTTCACTGGCTTGACATGTTTATGTTTTAAATTGTGGCAGAATGTCTCTAACAAGACTGACCATTTCAACAATTTGTAAGGGTATGGCTCAGGGCCAACTGAGTAGTTTCATACTTTTATGCAACTATGGCCACCCTCCATCTCTTCTTTCTTTTGCAAAACTGAAACACTGTATCTGTTCAACAGTAACTTCCTTGCCCCAGCCGTGGGCTACAACCATTCTATATTCTGGTTTTTTATTTTATTTTATTTTGTTTTTTATGTACTTGGTACAGGGTCTCACTACACAGCTTGACTCATAGTAATCCTCCTGATTTCAGCCCCTACAGTGCTGCAATTACAGGCATGTGCCACCAAGTCTGGTCCTGATGTCTGGCTCAGCACGCCTGGGGTCAGGGCTAACGTGGCATGTGGTGCCGGGGATTGAATCCCAGTCCCTACACTATCTTACTGGCCCTCCATTCTATTTACTGTTTCTATGAATTTCACTATTTTAAGTATCTCCTCTAAGTAGATTCTATAATATTTATCCTTTTGTGTCTGGTTTATTTCACTTACTAATGTCTTTAAAGTTCATGCATGTTATAACGTATGTCAGAATTTCCTTCTTTTTAGACTGAATAATATTCTGCTGCACATATAAGCCACTTCTTACTTACGTGAATTATGCTGCCATGAACATGGACACACATATATCTATGCAAGTTTCTATGTAAGATTACTTTGGACATGTAACCAGAAGTGGACGCTCTGTCCACTCTGTTGCTCTTAAACTCTCCAGAGTCTAGCCCTTCTTCAAAAATTGTTTTGGAATTCAGTTAGCCGGGGCCCACTGAAACCATGACTGAGATATGACAGGCCTTTGGGCTACTTGGAGACTCATGCTAAAGACAGATCACCAGAGGAATGAAAAAGACTTGAAATTCACAAGCAATTAAAATAAGACGAATTTAAGGAATTAAACCTGTGAGAGACAGTGGTTTCTAGATCTCATATCACAAAAGGAGGTAAGTCTCTAGAATAAAATAACAAAGGAAACAGAATTTTGTTAACATTATTACTAAATGATGCAAACTTAACACTGTGATCATTTAAAAATACTCTACAATGTAAGATTTAAAGCACAATGATTCCTAATTAGTGTTTTAATAAGTGTGTTAGCACTGCCTTGTGCCGTTCTGGAACGTCACTTATGGTAAATTAAGGGACACTCTCCTTCCCTATCTTCCATTAGTATTTTAATGCGAGGAGGTGGGAAAAGGCTGATCCATATTCAAGAGGAAAGGAAGGAAAACAATAACAAATTGGCATCTCTTCTGTGAATTGCCCCACAGGCCAAGCATTTTTATGTTCTTAATCATTATTAAATGACTTAACATGACACCCAGAGCCTGGCGAATGATTGCACCCTGACATGTGAACGAATTACAAATGAAATGAAAGATCAAGCCGTATTAGAGGACTGCCTCTGGGAAATGAAAATCTTTAATTCTCTTTTATTATTGACATTTATTTGGCTGCCATGAATAACAACATAGCAAAGAGATTCAACTATGCTTGTGCATTGAATAGCTTATCCCAGGGCTCAAAACTGCATTAACATTTATCATGTTTGCTTTTGTAGCTGACACCATGGAACAGATTCTCTATCCATCTTGTATTTATCATGCACTGCAGATATAGTGCATCCTCTAATTTAAGTTCATTTTCATATGGTAGGAACAGCAAAGATTAGCCAGTGTCTTTGCTCAAATAAATTCCTGATTATAGGCATTCTTAAGAGTGGCTTAATAGATTTAATAAATGACAGAGTAAGCTCAGAAGGAAATTCAATGACAAGATGGGCAGGCTAATTTTCAATTTTGAGAAAATCATGCAAATTCACAAGGAGGAAGATATTTATATGACGTATGAATCTGGAATAGAGAAAGCCTTAAATGAATGTCTGCATAAAGAGCAACTTCAGAGCGTTTTATTAACCTGAAGGTAATATTATACTTCCTAGAAAAAGGCTATGTGCATTTCACTTTTCTCAACTGTTCATTGCTGACAGAGGAGCAGGTCACACGTGATCGCCAACAGCAAGCCAGAGAGTTTATCAACGTGGTGCTGTCTTTTCATGGTTTGTTTCTTTTCTCTCACACAAATTAACCCTATAGCTTTGCCTGCCACAATAAAAGATTATACGCTACTTGGTGCCTTTGCTTACATGATCCTCTTTCACTGGATTGCCTACCTTTCTTTAAATCCCTCCTACAATTCAAGGCTTAGAAAGGATATCGGTTTATCTTTGGAAAGCCACTTACCATCTTTCAGTCTTGTTTGAAAAAAATGCACATTTTTTTTCTTTTGAAACGCGCACAAGTGGACATAACAGCATAATCACCCTGAACACATCTACCGGCCACGTTCAACAGTGAACCTAGTCAGTCTCATCTCATGGATATGCCCACTTCCCTCACTGAGTTATATTGAATCAAACCTCTGAATCGTGCCTTTGACAATTCTACAAAAAGAAAATTGTAGTGCATTGTATCTAGGCTTCCTTGGCCCTCAAATTGGAAAGCAGTTTAATCTTTGACCTTTTCAGGTTTTACATATTTAGTTTACCAAGAATGTAGTTCATACTCACTATAACATTTTTCTTTTCCTTTTTTGGTACCGGGAAACAAACTCAGGACCTTGCACTTGCCAGGCAGGCGCTTATGCTGCTGAGCTATGTCTCCAGCCCTTTATAATATATTTCTTCCAACTTTATTGATCTGTTTCTTTTGAGTCGATAAACCATGCAGGTTATATCAACAAATAAGTATAATTATACTTTATACTCATATTTTACGGGCATTAATTTCTATTTCCTAGTTAATTTTTTTTTTCTTTTTGAGATAGGCTGGCCTTTAGCTCTCAGCAATCCTACTGCCTCAGCCTCTTGGGTGCTGGAATTAGAGGAGTGGCAGGCTTCCTAATTTATTTATTTTATTTTTTATTTTTTATTTTTAAATTTTATTTATTTATTTGTATGGGGGGGCAGCTCAGCCCACCAGGGGGCGGGCTGGCTGGCATGTGGTGCTGGGGGATTGAACTGCGGTCCCTGGGCTTTAGCTAAGATTGTTCTAAGTAGGTGCTTTAGACCACTGAGCCATCTCACCAGCCCCAAGGCTTCCTACTTTAGATAGTTAAGCATAACATACTGTAGTCAATGGTCAGCTGAGTACTGATTGCATATGCAATAACTGTTCCTGTTCACAATAATCATTAACTGGTTTGAATCTGGATGGTTCCGAGGAAATGAAAAGGTTTATATTTTGGCTTTAATAGTAGGTAGCATAATATTGACATTCATCATTTTAACCAATAACGTTTTCTTACTAGACGAAACTCCTATTTCTATCAGTGCTATAAAATGGAGACCTGAATAAAAACAGAAATGAGGTTTTGGTTTCTTGAAGGAAAATCTGAAGAGCTAGCATTTTTAGATATTATTTATTCATAATTGCATAAGTTTATTTTATTCTCCTCCTAGTATTCTTTTTTTTTTTTGTGGAACCGGGGATTGAACTCAGGCCCTTGCGCTTGCCAGGGAAGTGCTTATTCTACTGAGCCATCTCCCTGGCCCTTCTTTTGTTATTTTATTTTATTTTTTGTCTTTCTGAGACAGGGTCTCCCTATGTAGCCCAGTCTGGCCTTGACCTCACTTTGTAGCCCATGCTGGTCTTGAACTTGCAATGATCCTCCTGTCTCAGCCTCCCAAGTGCTGGGATTGGGAGGTGTGCGCCACCACGTCTGGTTCCTTCTAGTATTTTATAAGAAAAGTGTATTCTTTTTTAAAGGAAAGACATTTCTGGACTAACAAAATCTCCAAAATATTAAAGAAGAAAAACTGGATCAATGTGGTTTTGATTGACTTTTTAACAAATTATCATTCCTGAAAATGAACTCTTTTCCACTGACATACAGGGTACACTGCCATGAATGTATTACAAAAGAACCAGAATTCTGTGGTCAGTGATGAATCCCTGTAATTTCACACTCGTGACACACATCCTGCAGTACCTGTTGCCATGATGGTGTCTTCTTTCCCTTGGGTGAAGACTACGATCCGGGCCCGCTTTGAGTTCACCTTTGGCAGAGCTTGTGCCTTTCGGGCTATCTCTTTAATGTCTTCAGTCTATTAAAGGAGAAAAAATACTCAGAACCAGTGGAATAAAACAAAACTTTATCAGAAGATCAACAACTTTGCCCCAGGTGAGACCTTGGTATCTATTAGAAGACATTTAAAAACAACTGAACCACATACAACAGTAAACAATACTACAATGATGTCCAAGGAACCCATCAGCAATTGCAAAGACTTTATACTTAGGATGAGTGGCAGGTCATCTGTTTTTACTGCCTTGTCTTTCATATTATTCTAGAATAAATTTTAGATACTACATTGTGTATTTCTGAAAGGTAATGACTTAACCACATAATACAATATAGTTCAGCAATTAACAATAATTCCTTAGTATTGGCAAGTTTTCAAACTTCCAATGAAAGAGAAATTTATTTAAAAAGAGGATTATTTATTTTAGAGGCTTACAGAGAAATGCTGTACTAACTTTGGAAGTAACATCGCTATAATTCAAAACTTTTCAAAGGACTGAATGAGAGAGAAAATGTTAACCGTTTCCTAAAGAATTAAGAAAAAGAATGCTTAAAATGTGCAAATTAATAAGAGGTATACAACAGTAATCTTTCAGTTATGCTTTTGTGTACAGCAGCAAAATATTTCCATCAGCACACTCTACAAATGGACTTCTCTTCCACCCTATGGGTCATGATTCCATCTGGGTCTACAGGGTGGATTTCAAAGAAATAGCTGTAAGCTCAGTCCTACAAGTGACACCTAGCCACCAGTAACTGTCATGGTCATTATGCATGTCTATAACACACTAGAACTTTGTGCGATAGCCTAGCCTCAAACTGTTAGAAGTGCTGGTCATTTATTTGCCATTCTAGTATTTATCTTGTTTTACTCTTAGTATTTCTTTACTATCATGAAAACTATTTCTTAGTTCAATTCTTTTGAAACATTTAATTTTAAATTAATTAGTATTTAACTTTCTGGATATTGTTTAATTTTAATTTTTGTTCTAAGATTTATACTATATCTTTGACTTACAACTTATTTAAAAGACATCATATGATATCTTCTAGTATTAGAAACTTTAAAAAGTGTATTTCCATTTTTTGTTGACTTTATATTACTTCTTCCCTGTCTTTTTTACACACACACACACACACACACACACGAAAAAAAAGTGTATAATCCAACATAAGATTGGTACTGTTTCATAGAAATCT